TCTAGTTTTACAACAGGCAATAGAAAAAGTACTAGTGAAGTCAGTACAGAGTAAAATTTCATACAGTTACTTGTTTATGTTGCTCTACGTACTATACACTGAAATGTAAGTACAGTATTTATATTCCAATTTATTTTATAATTATATGGTAAAAATGAGAAGTAAGCAATTTGTCAGTAACAGTGTGCTGTGACACTTTTGTATTTTTATGTCTTATTTAGTAAGCAAGTAGTTTTTAAGTAAGGTGAAACTTGGTGGTATGCAAGACAATCAGACTTCTGAAAGGGGTACAGTAGTCTGGAAAGTTTGAGAGCCACTGTTTTACAGTAACCTTGTAACCCTACTAGCATAGGGTTATTCCTAGGTCATGTCAAACATTCTTAAGCCTACGCCCCAGTATGGCCAAGCTAAAATCTTACATGCCTCAACCTATTGGCTTTGCATTCCAGCCATGTTTTACTTATGTACCTAATACACACTCATCATTCCTAAATGCTTGTCAATCTTATACATAAGATTGCAATTTAAATCTATTTAGCAAACATTGATTATATATGAAATAGCATATGAGTTGATCATAATACTAAATAACATAATGATAAATGGATAAAATGAACTAATTGGCTACAGTTAGCTTGAGCTTTAATTTGAGATTTGCCCTTAGTCTAACTCCCATCTACAAACAAAAATCTCTAAATTGAGTTAAATGGTGCTTTAAGTTGGCCTGTTAGGGGGATGGGTTGAAACTCAAATGCTGCTTATTGTCAAGCTAGTAATGTAGCTCAAGTTATAGCAGCTCAACAGCTGCTAATCCAATCACTTTTTGCTGCTTATTAAATTCCTCTATGTAGCTCTAGTCAGGGCCAGATTAAGGCATAAGATAACTACGCTACAATTTAGGGCCTCTCAACATGAGGGGCCTATAAAAAATAAAAAACTGACTCCATTTCAAATTTTAGCAAAATTGGTTGATAAATGAGATATGGGAAAAAGAAGATTCTTTCTAAATATAGACATTTGCATTCAAATATGACAAAAATATACACATCTGGCTACACAAATATCCTTAACCTCCCTTACCCTTCACTAATTGTTCATTATTGACAGGTGGGAGGCCAGGGCTGAGAAAAAAACGATAATTGCACTTGTAAAATTAGTATTTCTATGAGTAAGTCTGCTATCAGTCTCCTAAGACAGCGTTTTGTTGGCCAGCTGCTACTGGTAAAATTCTGACTGTGCCTTCATAACGTATTTAAATAAATAAATAATCTCACTGCTGATAAAATCGGGAAAATTGTGAGGTCGGAGACGGCAGTGTCGTGAGACAATCCTGCCAAGCTCATACTCATATGGGACTCATCCTAGTAGTGATGTTATATATAGCGTCCCCCTTGGCTGGTAATAGCCAGAAGGCCACCATCTTTCATTTATGGTCCAGCATGCTTAGTCATATAGTGCCTTCACTCCTGTTTTTCTTCGTTTTCTTAAGTGTTAGTGTGTTCTTTCTTCTTTTGATATGTACGTACATATAATTGTGTATTTTAGTGTGCATACCGCTTTCTGCTTCATGTGCTATCCATGCTTCACATGATTGAGTTTTCAGGTGATCGTCTTATGGACTTGGGTCAAGTGGATTTTGAGGAGGATAAATTTGTGTTGGCTTCCCTCCGTCAGTTTCGGGAACCTTCACAGTAAATATCAGAGAGTGCTGATGAAAGGATAAATAAAGGGTTTTGAGAGAATGGAAGGAAGATATACATATGTATCAAAATATTCTGAATACTTGGTGAGCTAGTTATTTCAAACTATTTGCATACATGATTTATAGGCTATTAAGGCCTATAATATTCATTATCTTTGCTTGAATATAGGTTATTTTTTCCTCATTTTCTCAATGCCTGTCTAGAGATTACCAGTCTTTTTTCTGGTAAATTCTTTCTCTTTGACAACAAGCTTTATGCGCGACTCTGTGGCCCCGAGGTGTTTACTTGAGATTAATTAGTGGTTCTGGGGGAGACAGAGGGTAGAGAAGCGAACGTGAAGAGAGAGAGCTTTTCTTGCAGCATTTTCTAGGCAGACATCTGCCCTAAGCATTCTGTGCATCAAAAGTGACAAACTCCATAGCTTATCATTTGAGGACGTCATCAATGACTTTGCTCTCCAAAAATCATGAAAGAAAATGTTTTAAATTTCAGTGTTAAAATTAATGTGATGTGCAAACAGACATACTGTAGGTTATACTACTTCCATTAAGTAAGCTGGTCTCTGTAACTATAACTGCTTTTGTGTTGCTGTAGATATAAAGTTTTCATATCTTCTAATTAAGAAATCATAGACAAAATATGTTAATTTGAAATTATTTTATAATGTAAACAGGCATATTGCAAGACACATGTTTTAGTTAGATTATTATTCTATTTTTACAACTTTGCCTTTATATATATGCAAATATAAAGCTTTCATGTTTATATATTAAATGTCCTTTCTGTGAAAATAATAAAAAAAATTTTAATGTTATGGGGCCTCTTACACTTGACATAGTTTAGGGCCTCAGAATGTCATGGCCCTGACCATGGTTGTTTTGCAGTGTGGTTGGTCTCTCTAGAGTTTGGTCTCTCTAGAGCTAGGCTAGCTTGAGTGGAGTAACTTGATAATAGAGATGAGGTACTATCAGAGATTGAGGTGTTCTATTATTTGAATTTTAATTATTGTTTCAACCAGTTTATCAGGTACAGATTTAAGATTTACTGGACTGTAGTTTCCCAGTTCACCCCAGATTCTTTTTTAAATATAAGTACAGCATTTGCTACAGTGGTGCAGTAGGTGTTTTTAATGAGAGATTGCATATATTTGTTGGAATTTCAGCCACTACATACTTAAGCTCCTTCAAACTCTTGGATGTATACCATCTGGCCTGGTGACTTATTACTTTCCAAAGTATTGGTTTCTCCAAGCACCTTGTCTTCTGACACCTCAATCTCTGATAGTACCTCATCTTTATTATCAGAAAATAGGAAGTCCAGAGTAGGTATCTCTCCATATCTTCTTATAGGCAAAGAAAGGAACAGTTGAGATAGAGTTAAGGTTGAGAGTACAATGCAGTAATTTAGGGTAAAATATGTTACAGGCAAGGTATAATTATAACAAAAAAAAGAATTTCTGAGATTAAAATTAAAACATAAAATAAATCCAAACATTAGTTTATGGAAATGCAGAGTTACTATATCAAACATTCTTAATTCTGCTCTGTAGTGAAAACGTACAATAACCATGTTTAAAACTAAGGCATCTTAGTCCCAGATTAGATTAAATTGATTTAAAGATGTGTTAGGTTGTGTGGTGTGTTTTCTGTGCCTTATAGCCACATGTAGAGGTCATTCTTTATATTAGTTATTTAAAAAAAATCAATGTCACTATAAATATGAATCCTTGTTAGAAGAATTTATATTCTTCCTGTTCCAAGAACATTTCAAAAGCTTTAGGGTGTGATAAAATCCACAAAGTAAATTTTGACACCTTTCCCTCCTTTAAAATGTTTTATCTCCTGGTTTCCATTAAGTATTTATAGGCTCCATCTGTGCTACTCTAAAGTTTTTCTAGAGAAAGCATGATTGACATTGAAATGATTTTAAAATGTGTATACTGTTCATAATCAGTTTTGCAATCTTTTCAACATTTTACTGTCCTCAAAATATTTGAAGAGGATCAGGAGTGATATAATATTTATATTTACTTGCTGTATACAATTGATATATTTTAGTGTGTATATCATTAGTCATATAGTTCCAAAGTCTGGTTTGAAATCCTTCTGCTGATGTTGCTCTAGCAAGCCCCAGAGTCTGTCTTAGGCCCTATCCCCTATCCTGACTCACATGATTAACTGCAGACTTAGGCCTTGGCTACACTTGCAGCTATACAGCGCTGTGAGGTAAACCTGTCTTCGTACAGCTGAGTAGGGAAAAGCGCTGCAGTCTGTCCACACTGACAGCTGCCAGCGCAGTGTTGTGGCCACACTTGTAACATTTTTAGCTGTGTTGGGAGCGGTGCATTATGGGCAGCTATCCCAGCATTCATGTGGCTACTACGTGCTTTTCATGTTAGCTCTCTATTTTGCAAGTTCTGAACTCCCGGCCCCCTGCTCATTCATTTACTTAATCAAAGCAAGCTGCAAATTGTTTGCTTTTCTCTGCAGTAGGAGCTTTGAAACCGGCACTTCCGCATTCCTGCAGCCGGTCACAACAATGGAGAGGATTGGCCACTTGACAAGGTGATTAGTACAGCGCTGCAAGCGTTTACACTCACACCTGTGAGTCCTGGCCACTCCACTGCAGCTGTTATTCCTCTCGGAGATGTGGAGTACCTGCAGTGGTGTACCCAGGGAGATACAGTGCTACAAGTGCCCTGCCAGTGTGGACGGGGAGTGAGTTACAGCGCTGGGGGAGGCTTTACAGCGCTGTAACTTGCAAGTGTAGCCAAGGCCTTAGATGGGATGTGCTGTGAAACCCCAGCCTCTCTTCCTTACCAATCCATTAGTTTTTATTTTCTCGTATGTTCACCTCAAAGAGAAGAGAACAGTCCATCCCCAAATGCTGCTGCTTCTACTCTCCCAGTGGGTTTAAAGATAAACCTGAATGGGTCTAAAGACAAATCTCAATCAGTTTTCCCTAAGAAATGAAAGTCTAAATTGGTTTGCTGATATGCCTATTGCCCTAGTCATTTTAAAGTGTATGGTTTTATATATATGTGCTCTAGTGTAATATGTGGCATAAAAATGTAGTGACTGTGTGTGCTAGGCTTATGGTTTTATTTTTAGTGCCAGTATGCTAGAATTTGTTGTGTTCCATTACTAATTGTAAAAATGAAATCCAGCTGACTTCATTGGTGTAATGAGTAATGGTAGAAAATAGGTGTGACCTAAAAAGAAAATACCTTAAATTTTCTGTTTCAGATCAGATTTTTTTTTAAATTGTTTTATATTGTTTTGTTTATTCCTCCTGCAGGGATTAGGAGCAGACAGCAAGAACCTCTACCCTTTCTTACTTCCCATTATTCAGCTAAGTACAGATGTTTCCCAGCCTCCTCATGTTTATCTTCTGGAAGATGGCTTGGAATTATGGTAAGTGGAAGAACTTTGCTCAGCAGATAAATGCATATTAATATTTTTATCACTACTACAAAAAAAGTGACTTGCTTAGAAACATATATGTAATATGTACACTAAACTGACCACGTGGCAAGCTCAGATTTGGGATCAAGCAAATTATGGGCTATTGCTGCTTTGACCAGTGGAGGTTTGACTATCTGAGCATGTAGTGTTTTTTTAATCATGTGCTTTTGCTTATAAATATAATGCGAAATTTCACTGATTATCCACCCACAGGAATTATAAGTTGGAACATAGAATGATGAATGTAGTCTGCTCTCACCTGATTGTCACAATGCAGGCTATTACACCTCAGAACAATATTTTGAGGGAAAAGGGAGATATTTCTGTAGCATAGGTTTCTTTAACTGGTGACTCTGAAATTTCTTAGAGGTCTAGAATGCTAGTATGTTGTCTTGATGCATGTAGCATGCAATTTTATCACCTTACCTGCACTCTGCCCATTAATCCACCTCGCGTGTGGATACTTTGAACATTCCAAACCTCTGAGCAGCTTCAAACAGACGTCATTTAAAAACAAAAATAGAGAGGCATAAAAATGTTTGCTTCTTTCCCCCATTCTTTTGAGATGACAGGACCAGCAAGTATTCCACAGACCAGCAGTGTGGGAAATACCATTTTGAAAGATAATAATTTCAAATAATTGTGGCATTCTTCATTTGAAGAGATTTTATATTGATACTAGAATATTACAGTATTTTTACACTTGTCAAAATTGTTCCTCTTAACATATTTATTATGCAAAACAGGGAACTAAATGTAAACAATGTTGTAATTAATCTACTCTTAGGTTAGTAACATTGGAGAATAGCCCATGTCTTACTCCTGAGCTGCTGCGAATCTTTCAGAATATGTCGGCCCTTCTTGGTGAGTCTTAATAATAAGGATTCTGTTTTCTATACTAACAACGTTGTTCATGTTCTAGTAATAAAATAACTAAGGCAGTAAGAAGTTGAGATCAAAATTCTTACTATTAAAAATGATTGAACGAGCTTTGAGTAACTTAAAGAATTTCCCATTTTCTTGCACCCCGATTGTGTTTAAATAAATCAACATTTTAAGTGCTTTGTACTTAAAAAGGCAAAGAAACAAACTGGAGATGATGCTTTTTATTAATGGACTGTTTCTTAGTTAAAGACAAAGGGTGACATTCCGGACCAGTTGAAGTCAATTGGAGATTTGCCATTGACTTTAATGAGTCCAGAATGTCATCCAAAATATTTGCTGGTTGGTAGCCTAATTTCGATAGGTATCTCTGCACAAATATCTGTTTATTCTCCATGGTGTAATTTTTATTTATGAGGCTGCATGTTCTTGGAGGCATATGTTTCACAAAAGATTCCGTGGGTCTTATGTTTGGAGACTATATGATGTATATTCATACATTCAGTGTAAGTGCTATTAAAATGTAGAACTAACTGAAGTTGCTTAGCAGCTGAGTGCTATTTGACAATTAATTTTGGAAATGAAATTCAGCTATATATGGTTTATTTGCTTACTTATTGCAAAAAAAGAATCAACTGAGTTGGACTTCATAGTGTTCCATCAAGACTGCACAGGCACTGATTTTATAAAAGCCCCTCAAAGCTTAACACGAAATCAAATAATAACATTGCGTTTGTGTGAAGAGAATAGCTGACTATTCTACTTGCTTAATTAGATAATAATCCTGTTTGCTACTCCGAAGAACATAAAGAATTAATGGTTCCATTCCAAATCATTAATATTCAAGTAGTAAATTTTCAAATTACATATATATATATTTATAATTGAAAAGGAAGGAGGCGGGTAAACAGCTGGAAGGGGAGTTGTTAGTGGGTTATACATAGGGCCTACCAAATTCATGGTTCATTTTGGTCAATTTCACAGTCATAGGATTTTAAAAACCGTAAATTTCATGAGTTCAGATATTGAAATCTAAAATTTCATGGTGTTGTAACTGTAAGGATCCTGACCCAACTATGAAGGCAACAGCGCAAAAGTGACATGATATGGTATTGCCATGCTTACTTCTGCACTGCTGCTAGCGGGTGCTGCCTTCAGAGCTGGTTGCCTGGCCAGCAGCCGCCGCTGTCTGACCACCCAGCTCTAAAAGCAGCGTAGGAGTAAGGGTGACAATACTGCAACCCACCTACAATAACCTTGCGACCCTCCCCCTCCCCCATGACCCTCTTTTGGGTCGGGACCTCCTGTTTGAGAAACGCTGGTCCCCTCCCTTCCTCCCCCCCCGAAATCTGTATAGTGTAGGGTGAAAGTACACAAAAGACCAGATTTCACGGTCCGTGATGCATTTTTCACAGCCATGAATTTGGTAGGGCCCTAGTTATACATTGTAGTAATAAGCCATAAATCCAGTGTCTCTATTCAATCCATGATTTTTAGTGTCTAGCACAGTTATGAATTTAAGCCCCCAGGTTTGTCTTTTGAAAATAATGTGCAGATTTCCTTTGAGGATGAGGACTGATAGCAGATACGGAGTGATCGCTTTGTGAAAAGTGTTCACCCACAGGTGATGTGGTGTTTTTGTCTTTTATCATTTTCTTGTTTGAGTTCATTTGAGAGCATAGTGTTTGTCTGGTTTCACCCATGTTGCTACTGGGGCATTTAATACACTGGCTGAAGTACACCACATGTTGTGATAGGCATGTGTTGGATCCATGAATCTTGAAAGATGTGTTGTGGGGAATGTTGATAATTGTAGCTATGGAAATGTGTCTGCAGATTTTGCATCTGTTGTTCTAGCAGGATCTGGTGCTGCTTTGAGTTGGTGTGTCCTGGTCTGTGGGGAGCTTGCTTCTGATGGTGAGCTTGGAGAGGTTTAGGGGTTGTTGAAGGCCAGAAGAGGGGGTTCAAGAAAGATTTCTTTCAGGATGGGGTCCCCATCGAGTATGGCTTGTAGTTGTTTGATACCCCATATGGGTTCCACCGTGGGGTGGTAGGTGACAACTAGGGGTATGTGGTCCGAGCGGGTTTTATTTCTGTACTGAAGCAGGTTCTCTTGGAGTATTTGGGTGGCCCATTCCACGATATGATCTACTTCTCTGGTGGAATGTCCTTGTTTGGTGGAGGTAGTTTTGCGTGTGTTACCACACTGTACACAGTAATTTTTGTTATGCAAATATTTTTTTGCCTTCCTTTAATTATTTGCTGCACTTTTATGTGCTTTGGAGATTGATGAACTAATTGCTATAGCAAATGGATTTTTCAGAGGAAAAATTTTAAATCATAACAGAAAATGTAGAAGTTAACATTTCTGAATTGGTCACGAACATTTATCATATTTTCTAAGATTAATTTCAGTACTTCATATTTTATTATGAAGGTTAATGAGAAGTGTTCCTCATAGTAGGCAGGCTTAACTAGTCCCTCTCCCATGATCTTCCCATGTATCTTAATACTAATGACCAAAATTGTGCTTCAAGGAAAAGTACTGCAATTACAAAGAGCCAAGTTTTTGTAGATGGTTCAGTATTTAACTTCAGATTTACATGTCCATCTTTGCAATTGCTAGACACTTCCTGTTAATCTTCCTTCTATACCTTTTGAACATCTCTTTTTGGGTATAAATTTACTAACATAGTATTGTCCAAGTGGTCATGATTTTCATAGTTATGCTGCGTTGCCCTTCCACGTATCTTAAATTCAGGCTAACAGGGAGAGGCTGCATACGAAAGACTGTAACCAACCTGCAGTATCGAGTGTGGTGAGAAAAACTGCTTAGTCTAGATATTGCCTAGTCTAATAAGGTTGAGAATTTAGACTGTGTGCTTATCTTTTATTTTCCTTTGGTAACTACTCTGACTTTTGCCTATCACTTATAATCACTTAAAATCTTAAAAAAAAAAAAAAAAAAAAAAAAAAAAAAAAAAAAGAGGAGTACTTGTGGCACCTTAGAGACTAAAAAATTTATTTGAGCATAAGCTTTTGTGGGCTAAAACCCACTTCATCGGATGCATGCAGTGGAAAATACAGTAGGAAGATATATATACACAGAGGACATGAAAAAATGGGTGTTGCCATACTAACTCTAACGAGAGTAATCAGTTAAAGTGGGCTACTATCAGCAGGAGAAAAAAAACATTTGTAGTGATAATCGGGATGGCCCATTTCCAACAGTTGACAAGAAGGTGTGAGTAACAGTAGGGGGGAGAATAAATAGTTTTTAGTCTCTAAGGTGCCACAAGTACTCCTTGTTCTTTTTGCTGATACAGACTAACACGGCTACTTCTTTAAATTTATTGATTACAAAAGTTTTTACTCTCATGTTTATCCCTACCAGTGAGTTTGACTGAAGTGCTTGGTAAATTTGCTCAGGTTACAAAGGCTGGTGTATGTTTACTTTCCATTGATGAAGTGGTGAACCAATTAATAAACTTACCTTGCTCAAGAAAGGCTTTTAGCAGTGTAAAATGGTGTATTCCTGTGGTACAGTGCTGGGAGCTGGGGAGATTTAGCTGGTGCCTTTCTCTGTGTGATTTGTAAGTGGTGCTGGGAGCAATCATGCAATCTAGCTGGGTGCGGGTTTCCACATGCAGTTGTACTGAATGGTGGTAGCACCTGGAGGGGTTTGCTGCCTATCACTAGTAAGGCATTGTGAGAGACATCCCAGAATAGTGAGTTAAGGGGGCACAGCGGTCCCACAGTCCTAGATTGCACCCCGGGGATCCCGTCACACTGTTACAGTTATGGAGTAGAGAGATACAGTATTGACCATTAGAAGCTTGTTCATAGAGGACAAGCCATTGAGAATCTGAGGTGGGAGTGGCTGCATCTGGCTCCTAGAATTATGCAGTACTTATTCTCCAAGTCCTTAGAGACAGAAAATATCCTGGTTTAATCCCAGAATATCATCAAGCAGGTAGAATGTCACTGTGGATTGATCAGGAGTCTACCTCTCAAATGCACTTTTGGCTTCCAAACCAGAAGAGGTAATAGGTCTGACAATGATATTCCCAGAGCCTATTCTGATGATTGTTATCCTCCTACTCTTCTAGAGCTTCCGCTGATATCTTATCATAATTTCTCTGACCCTGAAGGTGATTCACAGTTTGTGAGACCAATTTTAGTCGTGTGGTAGCATTGATCTTTATACACTTTGGTTTGGGTGGGAGAATGATGATAGTAGGAAGCATAGGTGGCAGGACCTGGGGAGAGTATTTTTAGATGGTTGTGATCTCTTCAGTAAGGAATGCTTTGAGGTATTCAGTTAAAATATAGGGTTTTATATAGCATTTATCATCTGAAAGTAAAAGAAGTTGAAGACCTCCAAGGTAAAAACAATCCTTGGTTAACAGACGTACCTGTGTATTCAGTGAGGTCATGGAACCCAGCAGAATAAGGGACTTGGCAGGGGCAGAGAGACTGGGTACCTAAAAATTCAGGGATTTCAGTGATATAGAAAAGCCTTCCTTTTTGGTCTCTGAACACAGGGGCAGTGGACATGTCCACAGCAGGCACATGGAGAGTTGTGTTGCTCTTTGTTGGGAGAATACGTGTATTGGGCAGTTAAGTTGTGCGGAGGATGAAATACATATCAATCACAAGCAAGTGCAATAGATATGATTGCCAGTAGGGGCTACTATTGAGCTGGTGGATTGGAATTCTTCCAGTGAAAAAGAGTTGCACTTTTGGCTGCAGCAATATAGAAAGAGGGGAGAGAGAAATTGCTTGGGTCAGGAAGAAGGGCTGTGGGAGAGAAAGGAGGGAAGATAGGACTTCCTTGCTGGAATTTGGAGGGCCGATCTTCTGATTGATACTAATGTCCCTGAGTTCTCTCTCATTTCTCTTGGTGTAACAGGGCGGTGACTCCTTGGGTACGTCTTCACTACGCGCCGGATTGGCGGGTAGCAATTCATCTATCGGGGATC